CAGTTGAAATTTCATTCTAAAACCCATCTTTTTTGGTCTTTTCATGGATTATGATATGTCTTGCACTGTATAATATGTTTTGAATTAATATGTTCTTGGGTTTTTTTGAAATATATATATATATATATATATACATGTATTAATTCAACCTTAATATGAGTTTCTGGACAAGAAATAGGGTAAGTAGTTGAAATTTCATTCTAAAACCCATCTTTTTTGGTCTTTTCATGGCTTATGTTCTGTCAAATTTGTAGTTTTCTTTATTGGTTTTGAGTGTTTATCTTAAAACTCAAKTTTCTTGGTTCTTTGCTCTTGGTGTAAATCGAACACATTTGTGGAGTCGTTTAAATATGTTGGATTTTAAATATATTGGATTTTAAACTGTCATACAATTTTTTTCATCGATAGTCTGTAATTGGAACCATAACTTTTATTTATTCAAATTGTATTAATATGTAAAGATCAAGTGTAACCTATATCATCGTTAAATCTTATCTTATAAAACWAGTRGAACTTCAAAATCGTTAAAATTCATGGCTCCCGTCGCATTGCGCGGGTACACAACTAGTATATATATATAAGGTCATTTAAAGAGATACTGATTAGTTTGTGATAACTGTGAGATTCAATCTAAACCACAAACTAATGGTTAAATTAAGAAACTAATAATTTTGGTAATTTTGACTTAAAATTTTAATTAAAGGACATTTTAGATATTTTAAAGATCTTATATATCCTCTCTCCCGTCGTGAACTTTGTTCCAGCGAACTTTGTTCTTGCAAACACACATGATGCACATTGTGGTATGCTTTATAAAATAACAAAAAAATACAATGTGATACACTTAGCAAAACAACATTACCTGGTATATTGTGTTACACTTCGTAAAACAACAAAAACATATTGTGATACATTTCGTATAAAGACAAAAATACATTGTGATACACATTATGATACCAGATTTGGTTGATAAATACAACTGTGATACTACTATGATACCATTGTATTACTATTGTATTAGACTCGATGTTACATCTCCAAAGAGATCTATGTTACATCCAAAAACCTTACATCTTCTGCGTTACATCTCTGACGATATATGAGTTACATCTCCAGCAAGATTTGGATTACGTCCCCAATTTGAAATGAGATATGAACAAAAACCAAAAACCGGAACCGATATGGGTGTGCAGAAACTAGATCTCTTGGAATATGAAAAATCGAAACCGATCTGGGTTGTCCAAGAGGGGAGTCAGACCGGTGAAGGTGAGAGTTGAGTAGATGATGACCGGTGATTGGAGATGGATAGAGAATAAGAAGCAGCGGTGGCCGGAGATGGGCGGAGAAGAAGGCATCGAACGATGTTGGGCAAAAGGATCGGTGTAAAGCGTCGCACCGGAGAGGAAGCACATTTTGACCAGCAATGGAAAGAGGGTCACAGGTGGTCATCTCGTCCATTCTAATATACACACACACATCTATTTTAAAATTAGAATATTAAACTAATTAAAATAATTTGAATACTCAACACAATTTACTAATTTACCATTTTACTTATTTTAAGAAATCATAATAATTATCCTGAATGATTGGTTCATGTTAGATCTCACGGTTATCACAAATTAAACAATTCTCATTTGATTAGACTCATAGATATATATATATATATATATATATATATATATATATATATATTACAAAAAAGATCTATATAACTCATTTGCATAAATTAAAAAAAACAACATATTTTGATTGTATCAATAGTTTGATTTTCAACACAACACAAAAATGGATAAAATAATTGATTGTGATTTTATTTATATCTTAAATAGGCTAAATATATCTTCCTGTTGACATTTTCTCTCTCACACATACAAAAAACCTTCTAAATCTCAACCCTAAATTGAACTGCATCGAGTTTTACAGTAGTTTGATGAAGTTAGATAAGAACTGGATTTTTCACTTTCGAGTATAGTTTACTGCTATTATTATGTTGCAATCAGGTTTAAAGAATGTCAAGAGTTCGTTGATCTCGATAGAGATCGAAGTAATGTTGTAATAAGATATTGATCCATGTCCAAGCATATATGATTAAACCATTGAATAATCGACTCTTTCATATGTGGTTTTGAATTTCTGATTAAATAAGCATCGGAATTTAAGACCACTGCATGTGGGATTATCAACCGTCTGCGTTTGAGGATGGTCTATATGTATTGTTTGTTACTGAAGGAAAGTTGAAGCTTTCTTCAAGCATCCCAAAAAAGAAAACTCAAAAGTGTGAGATGAAGGACGAGGGTGGGGGTCAAGTATCTGTGTTTTGGGCCCCAGATCAGAAAGATTGTTGGGTTCGGAACTGCAAATAATAAAGAAGCCTCAAGTACATACTTAATAGAACTCGATGAAGGATCGGTAGCAGTTTCATAGGTCTAAAGTATGAATTTCAGTTTTTCTTTTATAGCAATGTGTTACTAGATAGAGCTTTATGTAGGCTTCATTATAGTTTAATATATGTAATGTATGAAGTTGAACTGTTTTTGTTGTAATTTTTAATAAATATAAAGCTGAACTTTAAATGTTTAAGTCTACTCCATGAATTTAAATTGTTTGTTTCTGTCGCACGACTTAGGTCCCATGTCATTATTGAAACACCTTCAAATATGAAAATAACGACTAATTTAATTTTTTTGATAATACTTCAAATAAAGGGTAAATCCCTTTCTATAAATTAATACATAAATTATCTCGAATAGCAAATCTGGATTTTACTATCAACAATCGATAAATCAAGCTTTATTAAAGACCAGGTCAACGTCGGGTGTTACTAAAACCTAATAATAGTCGCTATCTTCAGATGCAGAAGACGTCAACGAATACTTCTTGTGCATCTATCTAGCACTCATCTCATCATGGTGATTATAGTACCATTCCCCCAACAAGGAGCTAATGCACAAGCCAACAAATGAAATGGTTAGGCTTAATGTCTAGTGAGCTCAAACAGTTTTCATCATAATTATAAAACAATCCAAATGAAAGACTGCTTATTTAAAACATAATTTCTCGAATGAAATGTATTTATCGTAAAAGCATCATCCTTCCAAAACTCACACCATTTTCTTGATGAAAACCCATTTATTAAAACACCCATTTATCATGAAACCTAAGACCAATACTCACCAAAAAGTGAATGAGATTAAATGCCTAAAACATAGACAAAGTTTAATATCCAAACCATAAATAATGGAAAATACCCCATACACAAAACGTCACCGAAAAACGTGGATAAAACTCAATACCCAAAACCACACCCTCCAGGGGAGACCTGATTTTCATGGTTAACAACAGTTAACAAAAATAGGTCACAATTCCATGTTATAGAGATCATAATTGAGATTAATGGCTAATGGGATCATCCACTCATGATATTAATTCAAGGCCCCCGATGATCCCAATTACACTAATTCACTAGAAATTACATCATATAGCCAATGACTAGTATCTGGTTCCCACAGACCGTACCGAGTTGCCCCGATGACCCAATACCTATTTCTAGCTATAATATGAGAATAATAATCCCATTAAAATCGACTTAGAAAATACACCATAGGGTCAATGGTAGATGATCGACTTCAAGATCCCGCACCATGAGGCCTCTAATGACCGCATATTCCTGGCCACAACACGGAAACACCCATCCCATTTTAAATCAATGAAAACTGACTTCTATGCCTATAGATCCATTGCATCACAATTAAATTACATGCCCTCATGGCCACTCAAAGTATGTAATAATTTAAATGGATATGCTATAACTGCATATAACTTCAAAGCTCAACATAGAGCAAATAAAGCGGACAAAAAGTCTCCAAGACTCATTTGAGTCAAAACCGAGCCCTAAAGCTAACAACCCAATTGGGTATCCAATAAAATCATCAAAAACAATAAAACGTCTTTAACCAATGTTTATGCAAACACATGCTCCAAAAGTATGGTTAATTCAAAAACTCATCATTAGCTGAGACAAACTATTTTCCAAATGAAATCATACCCTTAATTTTCCAAAATGTCTCGTAACAATAACATACATTTTCCAAATGATTTATAAAAACCAGGTACACCGAAATGCATTAATATCAAATAATCGTCATTTGTATAGTAAAAAACTAGAAGACCACATTCTTGAGATTCATTTATTAAAATTTCCAAAACCCATATAGGCATTTTACAAGATTAATTATCAAAACCATAGATACAAGGCTCAAGACCCATCTTGACATTTAACATGTACCAAACTTATATCGAGATTTAACCGTTTTGTTAGGATATAGGGGATCAACAACATAAGGTAAACAAACTTTGTAACCGAGTCTATCTCTGACAAGCAAATCCCAACGGATATTACCAATGCAAATGGTCTACCACTATGTACTAGGCATCCTCTACCACGTCATAGCTATCACCATTAACCACATATTGAACTCAGTCGAGCATTATATCGCGCTTCATTGACGTTAAACCTTATTAAGCACGTCAAATCGTTATCCATCTTTTGTTACTGTTATTAAATTCGAATATGAGATACACACAGAAAGCACGAAGTCTAAGCCCAGTAATTTAAGGTTTAAAGTTTTACAAGGCCTTACCAAACAATCAACATGTGTTTTTTTTGTTACAAATTGTGAAAATACAAAAAATATGTTTATAATTTAAAAATTATTTCTTTTTGTTTTTTAAATATAAAATAAATTATTTATTTTCTTTTTTAAGTGGAGACATATAAAAGCAAAAGAAAGAAAACAAAAAAGTTTTTACTTTTAATGTTTTTTTTGGGGAGAGGAGAGTACAAAATATTAATCAGCTACAGTCTGGACCACCATGTGATCCCATGCACCATCACCCCTCTTAACTCCACCACCTCCTTCATTTTCCCCCTTTCCCCTAAACCTAAATTTACTTCATCTCCGTCTGTCATATTTACACACAGTAATCCATCAACACACACACACTCTCTCTCTCTCTCTCTCTCTCTCTCTCTCTCTTTCACACATACACATCTTCACGCCTTATCTCCTTTTCTTTCTGTCGTTTTCTTCAATTTGTGACCGTAAATTTTGTAAAAAACTGCAATAATGGTGTAAAAAGGAGGTTAGGTTCCGCCATGGAGTCGCAGGTGAGTTTCTCTTTCGCCATTTTTGATACATTTCTCTCTGAAATTTTGTTAACGAAGTTGTAGGGCTTCATTTTCTCAACCGTGTTTCTTTCTTTTTTTCTGGTTAATCGGAATAGGATTAGATGCTCCACGGTTTTGTTTCTGCAACGTCCCTTTCGTATTTTCTATTTTCTATTTTCTATTTTCTATTTTCTCAGTCAGTCGCCAAACGGAGCCCTAAAAGTTATCGTGTTCTTTTAGGGCAAAACACTATATAAACCTTTGTACGACGTCGTTTTATAGCTCTTGTTTTTTGGGAGTTTTATTTGAATTCGAATTTATATTTGTGAGGAAAAAGCATTGTAATGTTATTTTCAAATGTGTTTTGTTATTAAAATAAATTTGTTAGAGAGATTATGTTTGGGTAATGATGAATTTAGGATTTGCTAATCTTACGTTGGTTTTTTGTTTCATATTTATTTGTTTGGTCATAGATGGTTTTTTTAGATCGTTTATGAAAACAACTTATTGACTTATTCCAGTACGACACCGATAACCAGTAGTGTTTGGATAAACAGCTTGTTTGTACCGGTGACAAACTGATAATAAGAGTTTTAAAGAAATTAATTTTTTTTAATTTATAATAAATTGATAAAGACTTTTGTAATTTGTATTGATTTAAATTTATAAACAATCTCTATATTCATTCAAAATAATGAATATAAAAGTAACAAATCCAATTAATAATCTAAATTTATCATGCCCCCATTGATTTCTTCATGCAGATTTTTATGTTTTTATCCAAACAGAATCTTTCTAAATAATTTAATTAATTAATAATAATATTTGTGTATATATACACACAAACAGTCAAACACTATACATTCCACTTCTTTTTCTTATTATTTATCAATTGAAATATGCATTCAAATCAAAACCTAGAAGGAGCGACGAGAACCTATCCATTGAAGGGGTGAGCATGGGGGATATGCCGAAAAAGGATATGATATGAATTGTTGAGATTGTCGACCATAGGCATCACTTTTAAATAGGAGTTTTTGGATATGCATAACTATATGGATGTGACAAGGACCAAGAATCTTACATGTTAAGAGTGAGACAAAGAACAAGAGTCTTATCCTGTAAGTGAGGGTGACGACTCTTACCACGGTTAGCGTTTACACCGGATAAATTGCTGCATACTATGCCGTTTTTGTAGACCAAACTTTTACCTCGTAAGTAAGTGATAGTGTTGAATTTTACTGGTAAACGCTTACATGGTAAGTGTTTGGTAAACGGTCCCTAAGTGCAAGGACCTGTTGTCACTATGGTCAGTGGAGTGGTAAATGGCTTGGTAAATGGCGGATCGAGAGGGTTCGAGACAACTTGGTATCATAGTCCTAAGATAAGTTAGCGAGGATTTGCCCTCTGGGTGTAGCGAGACATAGAGATGCACAAGGCTCGAGCTTTTTCGTCAGGCCTTCCAAGCCTGTTTTTGTGAGCAAGAGCAATAATAAAGCCCCGAGCTTTTCAAGGCCTGGGCTGGCTTTGGGGTTGAGAAAGGGCCTAGGCTTTTAACCGGGGTTTTCTGGTCTCACTAGGACCGGGTTTTTTAGGCGGGCTTGGCATGGGAATTTTTTGTGTCTCTAGTTGGGAGTAGCTTTTGTGCTGGTTTTAGCGAGGATGGGTCGACTAGCTATTTCTTACTTGTTCTTATTATGTCTACGATCTTACTTCTTTAACGTGCATACTTGCACTAAATCGTTTTACTTGCTCTTCATCGATCTTTTGAACTTTGTTTTTGTTTTTTGGACATATTTTTGGGGTCGGTTTTCATCCAAACTCATCTCACTCCTTGTGGGATTTATTAAGGGTGGAAGGGTACGATGCATATAAATGTCTGTATACGTCGTACCCTGCCACCCTTACTCCTTATGGGAATTAATAGGTTTTGGTTTTGTTACAAGTTTTTATTTTTGGTATAATGTCCGTGAAAAAAGGGATATACACTGTTATTAATATCCAATATTAAAAATAATAAATTCTTGGATTTATTTAATCCAAAACCCTAATCACTCCTTTTCACGTGGGTAATTTCTATTTTTGGCCGTTGATTTCTTAAGAAATCTTTGCCTTATCAACAAACTTTAACCTTAATTACCTGTAAATATTGCTTATAAGATATACATCAAGAAAAAACATAAATATCCTTTGAATCTTTTGACTTTTCTTGATAGCATTTCGTATCAGTTGTAATTGGTTTGTTCTACCCTTCATAATGTGTACATCAAGAAAGCATAAAACGCATCAATTTTTGATTTTTTTGATGGTATCTCTTGTTAATTGTAATTGTTTTATATTATTCAGGATAACGGAATGTGTGGGGTTATTGATTATAATCACGAGGTGTATGATGAGGATTGTTTTGGTGACATACTTAATATCTTGGATTTACCTGTCGAGAATTTGGAAGGAGACGGTCTTGCCGAAGATTGGGCTTTGAAACTTGGTCCTATCCCGTCCGAGGTTTTTAGGGAGATGCTACCACCCGTCTCCCAAATCGGTGGTGTTGTTAATGACAATGGCGGCGGTGGCGGCTCTGCAGATTTGCTCACTGAATGTTTTGTTCTTGTAAGTAGTTTCTATGGTCATGATGAAAACTAAGCTAGTTTTTGGTTTTTTTTTTCTTTTTTGCCACTTTTGCACTGGTCGGGGATCTTCATGAAAATAGCCGTTTTATACTTTGTGTGTACATACGGCTCTGATTCTAACCCTTTACTGTAAGGGTACCGTCACAGTTTTCACGATGGACTTTCATACAATATAAAGGCACCTTCACTTGTTCACACACGAATAGGGGTAAAGGGATTGTTTTCACCGGAACCCATGTCTAAGATAGATATATCTATACTATATTATAAAGCATTTGGTTAAAACTCTTAAACTCTTAAAACTCTTAAACTCTTAAAGACAACATCTATTGCTAATGGTACAACCTGTTAAAGCCATCCCTAAACCCGTTCATCCCTAAACGATTTCATCCCTAACCGATTTCATCCATATCCTATTTCATCAAATACAGGATAAACATCTTATTTTAAATATAAAAAATCTAAAWTATAATTAGGATAATTATTGAATTCTAACAGAATACTTAATTATTATCTTTATAAAATTTATAATATTAAACCAAAAATAAAYTATTTCATTATTAAACTTAAATTAAATTAYAATAAAAAAATAAATTAMAKAAATTAMATAAAAARTRARAACTTTTAAATAGTTGATTTGATATTAACATTGATATTTTTTTTCAAATTTTTATGATATCTTCACATTTATATTTTTATTCAAAAATAAAATCATTATTTTTTATTAAAAATACATAATCTATACTATATTATAAAGCATTTGACAAAAAACTTTTAAAACCCATTTTTTTGCACAAAATAATGTTTATTAATGCATATTACTTATTACCTAAGATTACAAGTAGATTGTGCATTAGTACAATTATTAAAGCTTCATATCTGAATTCGTGTAACTAACTGCAGATAAACATAATCAAATACAGAATAAACATCTCATTTTAAATATAAAAAATCTAAAATATAATTAGGATAATCATTAAGTTCTAACATAATACTTAATTATTTTTATAAAATGTTATATTATTAAACCAAAAATAAACTATTTCATTATTAAACTTAAATTAAATTATAATAAAAAAATAAATTAAAGAAATTACATAAAAAGTAAAAACTTTTAAATAGTTGATTTGATATTAAAATTGATATAATTTTTTTCAAATTTTTATGATATCTTCAAATTTATATATTATTCAAAAATAAAATCATTATTGTTTTCTTTAAAACGCATAAAATCGTATTATAACATCGATAGAGACAAAGAATAAAATAGAACATTAAAATTAAGATGTGTCTCGCTGCATTGCGCGAGTACTCTTCTAGTATATATATATAGAGAGAGAGAGAGAGAGTTTATACAAGAACATTAACTAAATAAGAGAATGAGAAAACGATCTGATCACATGCGATTTTTACACTAAAGTCACATGTGATTCACGCGTGACCCACATCAGCGTTATTGTAAAATTACATGTGATTTTGCACGTGAATTGGTTGTTTTCGTATTCTCTTATTTAGTTATTGTTTCCGTTTGAACCTCTATATATACTTAGCTTTTTAGAATGGAGGCATCCTTGCACGCACGATTACATATATTTGTATCAAACCTCTTCCCTAAGTATATATAGGGTTTGGTTAGGGGAAAACCACAAAAATATGAAAAATTGAGCATAAAAACCAAGACACGCCTCACTTACTTGCCGTGCAGATGAATGATTACCGGGCGTTCCTTAGTTTTTCATGTTCTTTTGGTTTTCCCCCAATTTCTCTCTATATATTATATACTTATATGGAAAATACTCAAGCAAACTCCTCATCACTTGACCACCTGGGAGGTTGGACTCTACCGGTAACTCAGGTACCGATGACCAATGACTCTTTGGTATTTATCTCAAACCTCTTAACTGCCAGTTAGTTCATGCTTTTTGTTTTTCTGCATTCGTTCCTAAGCAATTTGTCGACGGTACTTGTTCCCATATTTATGTTATTGGCCGTTTTTCTCCTCAGAATGACGAAACTTGCCAACCAAAATGTCAGCCGATTCTCAAATCCAAAACCTCTAAATTTCAACCAAAACCGCAACCACCATCTTTTCCGGAAGGAAAAAAACAGTACCCAATGCCAAGATCCTTCGAAGCACCTAGCCCTGATTCAGTCCTTGAGCGTCGCACCTCTGGCTCGACCAGCAAGACTGTCTCCTTTGGAACCGAAATAGCCATCCCCGTAAGAAGTCGAACCAAGCGGTCACAATCAGGGTCAACCACCAACCCATGGTCAAGGTCACCCCTACTAATTCCGCTTCAAAAGGAACGGAAAAAGAGACGAAATCTTTTCCAGCAACCCGTTAATGAAACCAAGAAATGCAGCCATTGTGAGATAACTAAAACTCCACAGTGGCGAGAAGGTCCGATGGGACCAAAAACGCTGTGCAACGCTTGTGGGGTCCGGTACAGATCCGGGCGGCTGTTCCCTGAGTACCGGCCAGCAGCAAGTCCGACGTTCATACCGTCGGTGCACTCAAATTCTCACAGGAAGGTGATAGAGATGAGACAGAAGATGGATGATGATTATGTTACGAAGAAAGTTTTGAGTTCTAATTCAAGAGACACTGGACTTTGTTCGTGTGAGTAGTTATCGATTTTCATCTTGTGCAAGACTTAGAAAATTAGAGGGTTGTCATGATTCTATTGAAGCGAATCCTTTGCTCAATCTCTGTTGTGATTTTTTGGTGGTTCAAATTTTTGACAATTAGAGTTGGTGATGGGATTTGAGTTCTTTTAACTGACGATGAATGGAGCACTTTAACATAACAAGGACCGAGAATTTTATTCGGTAAGAGGGAAGACAATGATCGATACGGTAAGTGAGGATGATGACTCTTAAAGACAATGATCGATATGGTAAGTGCTTACCAGCAAGAGTTACCACTTTTACTTACCTTATTGAGTAACATTCTCGACCATCGAAATGGATTGTTGGTAAGCTTCTTTTATTTGGTAAGCGTTTACCGGGTAAAAGTTTATCTTTTACTTACCTGGTAAGATTCTTGCCATGCCTTTTGGGTAAGATTCCCTCCATGCTAAGATTTACCGGTTTATAAACGTTTACCATCAAAAATCCATTTTGATGACAAAGAATGTTCACCCAGTAAATGAAAGTAGTAACTTTTACCGATAAGTGAAATGACCCTCGAGTTACCAATTTTGGGGGTAAAAAATTAGTGGTAGAAAAATGATATTTTGGTAATTTGATGTTTTATATGCCATGTATTTAGGATCTAATTTTTTTAATTTATTAAAATATATCTATACTATATTATAAAACATTTGATAAAAATTCTTAAAACCCATTTTTTATGTATGAAGTATTGTATATTGATGCATATTACTTAAAATTCATTATTACAAGTAATTTTGCATAAGTACAATTTATTAAAGCTTCATGTTTGAATTCGTGTAACTAACTGCAGATAAAATAATCAAATAGAGGATAAACATTTCATTTTAAAATCTAAAATATAATTAGGATAATTATCAAGTTCTAACAAAATAATTAATTATTATCTTTATAAGAAAAAAAATTATGCATAAGTACAACTAATTAAAACTTCATGTTTGAATTCGTGTAACTAACTGTGGATGAACACAATCAAATAAGAATAAACATCTCGTTTTAAAATCTAAAAAATTTAAAATATAATTAGGATAATTATCAAGTTCTAACAAAATAATCAATTATTATATTTATAAGAAAATTATATTATTAAACCAAATATAAATTACTTCGTTATTGAATTTAATTAAGTTATAATAAAAAAATTGAATTAAAAAATTACATAAAAAATGAGAAATTTTAAATAGTTAACTTGATACTAATATCGATATATTTTTGTCAAATTTATATTTTATTGAAAAATAAAACCATTATCGTTTTTTTTCAAAATCACATAATACCATATTATAACATCGACTGAGATAAATAATAAAACGAAATATTAGAATCAAGATGTATCTCGTTGCGTTACGCGAATACCTTTTTAGTTTAAAATAAAGATTCTCCTGGTAAAACTAAGATATGGCTCTTGACCCATTCATATGACACCAACAATCTCTGTAGTGTGCACTCAACACTTTGTAACTCGTGATATAACCCATCTAACAACCCCATATTCTCCTTGTAAATCTAATTACGTAAACTAAACAGATGATTTCACTAAAAATCGCCAACAAATTATCGAAATAAAAGAATTATAAGTTGAGGACTAGAAATTTAAAAATGGTACAAAGGAAAGGGGAGGAACCAAAATCTATAAAACATAATTAGAATTTAGAAACAACAATAACAAGATAAAAATAACAATCAACTGTTCAACAATTCAGATTAACCTATGTCCATTTTAACAAAATTATACTGTACACAACTTTCATTTCATACACAAACCTAGCATATATATTTTTTTTCACTCTGAAACCGCGATTTCTTGATCGACTCTCCAATAGTTGCTGTCGTTGAACTCTTTCGTGTCCTCACTCACGTTCTCTTTTTCAGGTGTAACTTTTCTTTTTAGAGCCCCGGCTTCCCCGACTACACCCTCCTTAAGGGCTTTATCCATCGCCTTTTCAGACCCATCTAATTCCACTCCTACAAACTCCACATCTTCTTCAAACAATGAAGCCACTGCACCCTCTTTTTGGCTCGAATCACATGATCCAGCAAGCCCGTCATTTGATGAGCCGTTGGGTAGAGATGGTGAACCTGGGCTGACTGTCTCTGCTAAACTGGGAATGTCGACATTGGAGGTATTATTGTAATCTTCAAAAGGGTTCACCCCGGACCCTCTAACCGCGATATTTGAAGGCTCGCCCCATCCAACCCATTCTGGCATAGGCCTATCAGCAAACAGGTCTTCGTTGTCCGTAGCCTCGAATCTGAAAAAACCAGCATCAGATGCGCTGGTTTTTTCGTTCTCGCCCATTTTCAAGTCTCCACCGCCATTTACTTCATAGTCTTCGCTGAAGGGATTTGGGCTTCGATTGGGATTAGAATCGGATATAATGTGGTTGGAGTTTTTGCTATCGACAAATTCTTCATCTACGCCAACTACCAAATCATCGTTGTTACTGCTGTTACCACCGGTAGATGCTGCATTAAAGTCGATCTCATCCATCATTTCAGAAGGGGAGGTGGTGCTCATAGGTGCATCCCCCATTTTATCGTCTTGGAAAGCAAACCAATTTGAATTTGTAAACAAGCTACTGCATGAAAAAAAGAAACAAGTTAAACAACACATTTAATGGATTCTATGCCTACCAACACTTTCAAGCTACAAAAGTACAAAACCATGGATGATAAATAGTCAGGTGTTCTATATATGATGGAATTACTTTAATGAGCATCAATCAATTCCAGTTTCCTTAGGGTAAGTTTGTTACGCAGGATAGGGCAGGACATGACAACAGAAATTTTTTGTCTCATGTTTGCCGCGGCTTGGGACATGACGGTACTGAGTGGGACCAAAATAGGTGGAACAAAAATTAGAGAGATGAGACAAGATGGGTAAATTACTAAACTATCCATGTTAAAACCCTAAAACCTTCCACAATTCTTTCACCAATCTACCTGTTCAGTCCAATCATATCATTCCAGATACCATTTTATGAACCAACTAGCAAAGACTCCCTCCATCCCATGAAAATGGCAACATTTTCCATTTTGGGATGTCCCATGAAAAATCGCATCATTGACCAAAATGATTTGGTTCTACAGGATTCCCTTGTTTTGCCATAACTGAAGAGTGTTTTAGACAACGAACAATTGAAAATTATCTTGTGACTATGAACCTATGCAAATAGTCATAATTTTAATGGGATAGAGTAGATGATTCTAAATTCATCTCCAGAAACTTACCTGCCTTGGTCATCACCCAGCCTCAGAGATGAAATGACCACTTCAGCAGATTCATCGTCAAAGTAACCCTCCTGCATCTCAAAAAATTGAATAGATATTTTGGTATCAGCATCACAGCAGTTGCAGAGACTCGATACTAACATAAAATATAGTACTCGGTCCCAAAACAAGCGTCCACATTTCTATTCCAGTTTGTCTCAAAATAATCATCCACTTTAGAAATATGTGCCTACTTTCCAATTTTACCTTAATTTTAAAGATGGAAAAATCCATTACTCCCTCTATTATCAAGGATGAAATTGTCATTTAGTTAATTAAGAAGTGTAATAATTACACAAATCTAAAACTGTGCCTTTTCATCGTGGATGTTAGTTTTTTTTTATTGGGGGGGGGGGGGGGGAGTTAATATTATGATTATTGATAATCATGATTTGAAGGAGGAGAGAAAGTTCATGCTTTCATCTAATAAATTCCCCTGTATGAAATGAATTTCTTGACCAAAATATTACCTCATCATCTCGACCAATAGTTTCACGTCCCTGCAGTCAGAATAAGGGGAGAACCATTTTTACGACATCAAATTTTGATAAAGACGGCACAAACTTGTACAAATACAAGAGAAGCTTCAACATACCTCTTCACCTTCCTCATTTTCATACATGTTGTATCTAAATGCCTGGCTTAGATTATTTGCTAGAGCAGCAACATCATAATCTCTGTCATGATGAATGTCATCTTCATCACTATCCCTATTCCTATCATGTATCGAAGTTGGCCGACTGAAAATATCAAAAAGATGGAGAAGATATTAGCATCATGTAATAGAATAACACCCGACGTATATGAAGGTTAAATGCTCCATAGCATCAGATCCCAACTTTATCCATTTTCTTTAATATCCTGTTTGCAGGAAAATAGAGCTCAATATGTATCATCGACATACCAGGCAAATTTCAACATATTCGCAGACAGAATGCCACAGAATCAGATTATTTTTTAACTAAACAAACATATCCATCCACACTGGCAGAGTTTGTTTCAAAATCTCAATTTTGTGCCTCCGGGGGTAGTTCTTTGTGGTGCAGTTGGTGCACACACTGTGAGGCATTGGTTGTATCCCTGAATTGGTCATCGCAAATGAGAAGAATACGCAGATGGGATATGATACGCGATTTTGGTTGATTTTTGTTATAAAATGCATGTTAAAGCTAAAATCTAAGGTAAAACTCAGGTATTATGGCTACAGAAGAAAGAAAGCAACAATACTTGTTCCTCGACAGTTATATGGACAGACTAAGTAAAAGTAAAAACCTAACAAGGCTTAAGCTTGTTTAGTTTATACATAAACATTTTATATACTGATTAAAAGGAAATCATTTGCAGACTTGTATATATACATGCATAATATACACACCCCCATATCATAAAGTGTTTAGAAACTCTGAATCCCAGTATCTATGCATCATACAGCCATATTGTAAAGTGTTCCCATCCTTTTTACACCCTCTTTTCCTTCATCAGTTCTGAACTATCATTTTCCTAAACTCTTATGCTCAAGTCAATAGTATGCCTTAATTATTTTTGTAAACAAATGATGTGCCATAAATTATCTTTAACAGCAATTAAGACTTTGCTTGTGGCATGTCCTTCTAAGTGTATACAGTTGCAAGTAGACTAAACCAATATGTAGTAATCAACAGAATATAACATGCTTTGATAGACAAAACATGGTAGCAGCATACCAGGTGCAAGAAACTTACCCACAAGCCCATCGGTACACATTTTCAACCATGTTCCGTTCCTGTAGAACTGTACCCTGCCACTCGTTCCATTCCCTACTTTCCTATATCACCAAGAATAATATTTGAAACACAAAGATCCAAAATTAACATAAATACTTGTAAATAAATCATTGTTGCATGAACTTTTGTATAAGATTTTAAAGCCACCTTATAAGTTAAAAAGACAGGAAAAGCAACCTCCCGTCTTCAAGCATACCAGAATGAAAAGATTTTATGACATCAAGTGGAGGAAACAGTTCACTTTCTATATTGTGTCAGCATCAGAAAGCATCAAGCAATTGAAAGATCAATTTTTTACTCTTATAAAAACTCCGATGGAACAAGATGGATCCCAATGGGTAGTTGATACCACTTGAGGCTTACTTTATACATGATTATAACATGCAGAAAGATAATAAACTGACAAGCATGTTTCCAATAGTTTATAATTCATCATAGATGTCAAACTTCAGATAGTACTTAAGTAGTGATTTACATTGCCCCGAAAGAGGAGTATCAGGTACTTATAAAAGATCCTGTTTTATCGATCCTTCCATAAATAATAGCGCACCTGAATATGCATCTGAATGCGACTATTGTTATTCCCCAACTGCATGATTTTATTGGCAATGCATGTGATATGTCCAATGTTCCCAACTCGGGGTGCATTTCTTCCAGCAGCGGGCAACGTAGGCTGCATAATAACAAGAATCATAACACATTCTTTTAAATAGTATTTTGTTTTTAATATAAAGAATATTTATGAGATAATCTGGAAAGAACATCTGAATTTTAATTTTAACTTCAAATTATAAAGGGAAATAACACCATATGATGCCAATTAGGTAAGCAGGAGTCATTCATTTAACAAAAATAAGATATAGGAAGTCGAACTTTATCCTTAAGTAAGAATAACCCATTTCTGGCCAAATCTTGCCAGAGTCCAAGAGAGCTCATGAAAATGTTGCAGAATAGTCCCCAAGGTAAATAACTTCTCATCCAAATTTTAACTATCACATAAAGCTAAAGCTTTCAGATAAACTTTTGGAATGACGCATCATTTATCAATTAACATTTTTATAAAATATAACAGTATCTAAAACTAATTAGAACATGTTAATTTTTGTAACAAGATATACGATTAAATAATTGCAATGGTATTTTGTCCTAAAATCTTGATTGTCTTCATCATCTTCTTCCGATTCCCTCTTCTTCATTTTCATGATACATTTTTATAAAATATAATAGTACCTAAAACAAATCAGAACATTGCTAATTTTTGTAACAAGATATACGATTAAATAATTACAATGGTATTTTGTCCTAAAATCTTGATTGTCTTCATCATCTTCTTCCGATTCCCTCTTCTTCATCTTCATGATATTATGACAGATTTCTTGTGCTCTGGTGTCTATTCGGGAGGGTTGTTAAAGTACAGATATGAAGCGAAGGCATGAAGAGGGGGGGAGGGGAGGGGAGGGAGAGATCAGAGAAAATTGAGATGGAGACGGGGAATACAATACAGAAAATAACTTCTACGAGCATATACAAATTTACCCAGCAAGTTCTTTAGTGACAATTTATTGATCGCTTAGTAGTGATATCCAAATTAAATATTATTACAGCAATAGATAAAGAAAAACAAAAACAAATGTTAAGCCTTTAACAGTGTATTATTCCAAAAGCTTGTCCAAAAAATAGAATAATATTTCAAAATAAGGCCAAAATGAGAACTGAAATTTACGGGACAAGGTGTAATTTTTCCGTGAAGTCTGGTGGACTCCACGCAAGATTTTGGTCAGAAATTGGTAGTTAGTACTTGACAACTGAATTTGATGGCCTATTTGCAATATTTCTTAAATGGGTGGCTACGTCGTAACTCTTAGTATACTTGATTGGGCATCATCAGCAACTTCCACCAATCAAAGTTCATACATATAGATGATTTTCAAAGGCAGATTAAACCAAATTATATCAACTGGCCTCATGTTATGAGTAGTTATTCCTGTTTAGCCTAGATGCATCCAACAAAAGGTGCCAACAATTACCAGATTAAGTTCTCCAGAAAGGAAAGGTGTATTGTTAGTTTGAAGAATCTTCACCAACAAACCACATCCTTGGAACAGATGATCGACGATGGTGTTGTTTGTGCTTCCTAGGCAGGAAAATATTATATTCTCGACATGATGGTGCAAAGCATTATTATATGGGTACCTGTGTCAATTAACAGTAAAAGAAACTATTAGAATATGCACCATACAGAAATCTAATTCATTCTAGCATGATCGAGCATTTAAGTTTAACGATCATAACTCTACTTTGTACATTATCAGGACACCAAAACAGATGCATTAGTGGTGTCTTACTCAAAAAAAAGCTCAATAACTCTTTGTATAGTTCCAGAGCTGATTAATTCCTTCTCTGCGATTTCATTCCCAGTCTTCAATAAAACAGAAATGAACTCCACAATCTGCAAGCAGATAATATCACCAATCCATGAGAAGTGAAATGAGAACAACAAAGAACCAACACTTTGGCGTGAAGAATCAACTAGAAGTACACATTAAAACATCAGAAATGCCTCACACGAGAAGATGTAATTTTCTGTTTCATTGTATTTGCATTATTTTTATATTTCATAGAGTACAAAGATTCATTTAACATCAAAAACATATGAGTTAACCAATACCTGCATCTTACCCTTTCGTGTAACCACTTCAGCCAAAAACCATGTTTATTTTCAACACAAATCTACCCTAATAGAAATATGCAACAGATAAAGGCGACATGTTAAGTAAACCAACCTTTAGACGATGCTTCCCTAGAGGAGGCTTCAACTGGCCATATGTAGTTGGCAAGATCTTCTCATCAAGTGACACATTCAATAACATCAACAAGCCACCTGAAATATTGGCAGGCCATCGAAAAGCTAAATACCACAATATATGCCTACTAAAACCAAACTCAATTCGCACAAATATCAGCAATTTGAATATCATCCCATCCAAGATTGAGCAGTACCTTTTTGTTAATCATGATCCATAAGCAAGACATTCTATTTATCGTAAAAAACCAAGTTCTTAGTATTTAACTGGCTATAGGTAACTGAATTTTATCAAACTGAAAAGAAAAAAAGGGATTCATAAAAAACTAGTGTATTCAATGTCCAAGTTATGGTGGGAAAGATCTATCTTAAAGGTACCACTCTGCTCTCTGGATATTGCATCATAGAATGTCCATGTGCATCACTGTAACATGCCCCTATTATTAACCATTTTCAGCACATCTGAAATATTTTAACAATACCTCTTAGTTCCAATGCCATAAAAAATATGGCCTATTACGGCATTCCGCATTCCTGTCCTGAACTGCTACAATTTAGATAAGCAGGACGGAGTAACAAGCATGATCCACCACGATCAAAGTTGTCCCAAGTTCCCCCTAAAGACAATTTCAAGTTTAAAAAACAACCAACCTAACTTAACTTAAAAATATTTACTCTAATTCTGAATATGCTACTTGAAGTCTCTTTTAGTGTTCTTAGATTTTTTTTTTGTATCGTAAATACTGTTTGTGATTTATATTTCACAGCAAAATCAAAAGTGTGTTTGTCATGACCACTTCTTTTTCCAAAAGAAAATAAAATTAAAAGAATTATGTTTTGCTGGGTTTAAAAGCTTAATTCATTAAAGCCGAATGATCGAAGCACATTTTTTTTGTAAAACATGAAAACATCAAAATCAAGTTCACAATTTATAATCCTCATTTGCAAAAAGTTTGAAAATTGGTTTTAGTTTTTTAAAAATATGAACGTTCTCAACACATGTTCCTATCCAGTTTTTTTAATCAGAAAACAAGTACTTTGTTAAATGAGGCCTCAGTTTTCTTGAGCCATAATTTCTTGCCAAGTTTCCTTTGACCAATGGTATCAGTGCATCTCTACCAAAGTTTTAAAGTACATAAACATGAGCGAGGCGTCCCTTGGCGTGGCGTGGCGAGGCATAAGCCCCAAGGCGGAAAATAAAAATAAATAATTTTGTTTGCATATTAACACACATCTAATAATAGTATTAAAATCTCAAAATATATATTAATAGATGCAGTTGATTTTATAAGATTTTAGTTTCATCACTTGTTAAAAATACATAATATATATATATACAAACAAAGAAAAACTATCGGGACAGGGGACAGTGGACAATGGACACAAAATGTAATAATATATTAACCCACATACTATTGTCAATACACAATGCTGTAAATAAATTATATTTCCGTACTCAAATTCTCTATTTTAATATATATAAATACATTTTATATCTCCTCTCTCACTTTGAATATATATATATATATATATATATATATATATATGTGTGTGTGTGTGTGTGTGGGAGACTTGAGAACCGGATAAGAGCTCGCAAAAGTTAAATGGAGAAGATGAGGTGTATGGAGAACTGCAGAAGAAGAACTCGTGAAGGACTGGAAGAGACGAGCTTAAGGGAGCAGAGAGAAACCTATGTATTTTAACCCTAAATCCTAACGCCTCAGCCCCGCCTCAGTAGCTAGAGGTGCGCGGCCTAACTAACCTAGAAGAGGCGCCGCCTCAGGTTCGTTTTTCCACCGCCTCGCCTCGACCAATTTTTACAACCATGATCTCTACAATTATTAGTTTGTGAGTTCAAACTTATTAAGAGACATTAGCGTATCAGTTTGTTGACAGCTCCAAGATATTTCTACCAGTATGACCTAGAATACAGACAGTTTGAATTCATAGGTAGTTTTGTACAGGTGGTATAATCAAGATGCTAACCGCAGTGTATCTTGTTATATAAGAGAAGTAGACAATAACTTCAAATAGTTTCCCAGTAACTCTTGTTCGAAGTTTTTAGTTCATGCTACTGCCCAATTACGCTAAGAATGATGAATTGGTGCTACTAGAGTTGGAGATCTATGGTATGCTTTGTGTCACTCAAGTTCAAGCTTAGTATCTTATATGAAAACATACTATTTTGGGTACCCCATCATATCAAACATTTAAGTGGAAATTTTTGCATAGAAACAGAGGAAACAATTGGCAAGACTTAGTACCAGAAAAGTACAATCCTATGAAACAGGCTGGTTATAGCTGTCAAAGGAAAAGAAGATAAAAATATCTTATTATCGATGCCAAGAGGCACAACCTTCTTCTAGACTAAAATTTCCTGCCAAGTTTCTTGAACTGCCATTCCCAAGAGTGAATGAATAATGATTTTTTTTACTAACCTGGATATCCAACCCGCTATGCGAGCCGATTAATCCCAGGGCGACCACCCACTTTGTGGGTATCCCAGAGTCACCACATTGAAACCTCCGTGACCACAAGGGGATTTTTATTCCTCCTTGGATTCGAACCTGGGACCTCCAGGCACTTTTGACCTTTGGAGCCCAAGTTCAAACCAATCAGGCACCACCCTTGTGGTTAATAATGGTTTTTTATGTACTATAAGATAGAGCATAAACAGTTTGGAAAGCAGTTTAAGGTAAGTTATATTTTTTTGTTATCTCTTGGTTCTGCATATCTAATTCAGACAGTAAAATTTGGAGCCCTACTGCCATAACTTTCTTTTATACAGCACTCAATATAGATGCATTTGAAAGTGAAAAAAAAAATAGGAATGGAAGACTGCTGATAGTTAAACGCGACTACAGCTTAAGATTAAAAGATAAGACAAAGAGCAGACATTGTATGTACAAACTCACCAAGTTTGGGTAGCATTGCTCCTACAGTCTCCTGGTTGACTTGCACAGGTGACTCGTATACATGCTGACCTCTAAAAGAATAAAAGGGAGGTGAAGGAACTGATCTTTTCGGATCCAACAATGATATACACACAGACAATGAGCTGACAACTCCAGATTTCGAATGTGAATCCTCCAACGCATGACCAAAAATCCTTGAAACAAAACTGGGGGGAAAAGAAAACGATAAAGAATATTATGTACTTGAAAGAGCAATTAAACAGAAATGCAAGCATATGAGACCATACAAACCTTGAGGTAGAAAGTTTAGAGGCAAGAGGAGATGACACGTTTCTAGTTATAGCACATAAAGTCTCTGCTGCATTAGCATGTACTTCAGGAGGACTCTGAAGCAATGCCGGAGAAGGAGGATAGTGTATTAGAGAGTACACTTGGAAGGAAAATATCCATAAAAATATAAACTACTTTTGAAGAGAACAGAATAAGGCACACAAAGTTGCACATGACAGTCTGTAGATGGAATTAATAAAATATCAGATAAAATACTGTCACCAATATGTGCACCCTTGAAGTTTAAGTGTTGGCTGTAAATGCAATTGAACTGGTGGAGGTCACTGGTGAAAATATTCTAATAGGAGTATCAGAAAATCAATAGTATTACACACACATGAAGCATACAAATTACGTTGAGAGCGGTTTGACATTTGAACTAGTGGATGTCTCATGTGGAAGCATTTTAATAGGCCTATCACAAGCAATCAAATATTATATCATGTACATTTGCATATAAGGTCAGATTAGAGCTGTCCAATGTGAATATATACACACTGACGCACATAATATTATGTACATACACCGAATAAGAAACTGTACTCACAGATGGACTCAATTTATCCACAATCATCTCCAATAGGTTGCTATCTGTTAACCACTGCATCACGTCCACAGAATCTGGATACATATGATCATCAGCTCCAACAAGTCTTACCAAGACCTATTTTTAAAAGAAATACCGGAATAACCAATTATTCATCAAGCAAGAGATATCATAAAGCTCAAAGTATAATAGTTCACGCCGATTTAAACATGAACCCAATGATGTAATTTTTACAACCTAAATAGGAAACGTACTGACCTCCATGATAGATGTTATTCCAATCAAATCAACCAGCTGTTGAAAAACATATGGATGGACCTGTTGACATATAGAACAAATAATATCTACAGTATGAAACGAGAAAGAAAACCAAAGTAAACTGTATGACTACTCTACAGACCATGCAAGTCCTCACTTGACGATAATATGAAAACGATTTTGAAGTAAAATGGTTGAAAATAATATGAGCCATAAAATTCACCAGGTAATTAGTTCTGAATTTTGAGTGGCTACTTCTAATGCATCAAAATCCCAATTTTGCGCCGTAGTTACGGTGACCATAACTGGAAGAATGTCATCAGCTTTTACACTAGTAAGTTCACTACTACATTCAGAAACCCACTATTCTCACAATAGAGTACAATTGTTAAAATAGAAGTGCTTTTAATTTGGAGAAAACTTAAACTCAAAAAATAGCCCTAAACTATACCATCAAACAGCTTTATCTTTTAAGCAAGTCAGCATACTCCGTGGATAATCAACGTGGTTGTCAGTATTGGTGCTATTGATAAAGAAGCATCAAAATTTAGTAAAATGTGAATGTTGGTGATCAAATTCAGAAGAATACTAATTTAAGAATGGAAGTATAGCCTGTAATATCAAGTAAAAATAGTGATTGAGAAGTATGGTTGAGCCTTCTTGAAGAATATTAAGCAGAACCGGAATCAGAGAAACGCTGCCATGTATAGAAAAAAATTTACTCACTTGAACAAAATTCATAAGTGGAACCGTCTTCCGCAACATGAGACATATCATGACCTACAGCATGGTAGAAAATATCTCAAGCAATGTTTTTTGCAAGAGAAGATGAATGATGATTGACAGAATATAGCAAATTAGCAACTGTGAGAGAAAAAAATCCGTGACAGGAACTTCCTACACCCTATATGCTCATCTGATAAATAAACTAAGAGTGCAAGTGTGCAACAATTACATTTGTGGCAGACTGTATAGGGACTACATAGTCGTCACGTTAACATCTGCTTTTTCCCTTTTGAATCCATGAACAATGGTTTATTTTCAGGTACAACGATAAAGACACAATCACTACATCGAATAGTGACTCGACGTGCTCTCTCTCCTTCACTCTCTACAATTGAACTTACAATCGATAATGATATTTAGGATCTAGCTTTCAAAACATACCTTGCTGAAGTACCCAGCCAGCAAGGCACTATGAGAACGGGTTGGCTCCAGAAATGAGAACAGTAAATTCATTAGCTGCAAGTTTGAGTTCGGGAGAAGGAGGTTATGTGAGACAGATTGTAATAAATTTCTTAATAACTCATGTTAGATATAACTTAGAATTGGAATATCAATGGACAAACCTCCTCTTCTTCCACTACAGTTTTGAAGATCACATCAATTTCACATGTAAATATCTCACAAGCAATGAAAGGGAACCTAAACATGTACAGAAATTACTAGACATAATCAGCTTTGTTCCAAGTATTATATAGGAAAAAACATCTAAAAGATAATGAGGAAATAATGATATAGATGATGCTTCAGTACTGAAAGCTTCTACATGTGTCAACTAATAACAAACGACCTACTTGAAAATACGTTGGCTATCAGCACCCTCCTGCGGCTCTTCTATAATATATCGCAGTAATTGTTCAGCCTGGACTCTGTCCCGCAAGCTGGAAAACGAGTACTCAAAGTATTCATGATGCAATTCTATCATATCCTATTTGCAATCTAATTCATGGAAATATTGCAAACTTCAACTATGGGAAGCATCAGCTCATCTAGATGGACTAGAAGATGACTCTAATTTACTAAGATAAAATACTTACAAGTTGATGAGACGGCTATTCAAAGCTTTGCATTCTTGAATAATATCTTCCTCGTCCAAGAGCTCTTCCAATGTGAGATGCTCCTTGTCCAAGATAGCCTCAATCTAAACATATGATTAACCATATGTTAGAAGATAGCAAACAACATATGGACTATAGAAGCTAAATGCTGCAAGACAAAAAAAGACATGCACAGTGCAATTTTATATGATTGATGAACCCATTTGTGCTTTGATCCATTCATTGACGCTTACGCAAGCCACGAGATAAGGGAAACAACTAATGACACTCTAACATTCACATACAAAATTAACCTTGCCTCCCCTATCAGATAAATGAACTGGATCCGCCTAATTATTTAATTCAGGTTATGAACTAAAAGACATTTGCCATGAACCACGTGGTCCATAGTCAAGCATAGAAAAAATGATACTTTCATTGTTTTAACTTCCGTTGATCAACATCTGGGAATTCCCATTTAAACCCATAATTTCCCATGAGTTAATTACCATTTACGGCTGTATAGCTTAGACAGATCAAATATCCCACATCATTTCATAATATTTCCCTCATTTCTCTTCCCACAGACAACTGAAGTAAATCACTATAAACCAGGTGATCATATCCAAGTTAAGTTGTCGAATAATAAACAATCGCCATTATTTAGATGCTTAATCATGTGAACCAAACTGATATTTCATTGAGCCAATCACCTTAACTTCAAGCTCTAATGAGTCCAATAATTCAACAAGGCATATTCATCAGAAAATGAATACTACACTGAATATAAATATCACAACGGGATCCGTCATGAAATGAAAAAAAAAAAAGGAAAAGAAAATAGGCAACATCAACACAATCAAGCAAAACACTTAATACTGGCAATTGACAAGTTTTACACTGAATTATACGAATCTGTCTGTAAATAAAAACGAATCGTGTTATAGTAACTTACCGGTGAAGAAGCCGATATAGCTGTGAGATGCCAAAACATGTTGAATTATAACTGGTTTTAGATCTGCAAACCCTAGATGGGAGGAGAGAGGATGGAAACTAGAGATTCACGATTGGACGACTGGAATAATAGAAGCAAGAGCGAACAAAAACCCTAATTTTGGATTTTTGAGAGGAAAAAACAGTCAAAATCGATAAATTTGAGGGATGGAAGAGAGGGAGAGAAGAGCTCCAAAAGTTGTCAAATAAAATGAGCCAAGAGGGATACAAGTGCTGTGCTAGCGGGACAGAAGGGGGGCAGGTTGCAAACGGACAAAGAGGTCCTGATGGTGCACAGTGACAAACGGCGATGCCTTGGGTATTTATGTAATTTATCATCTCCTTTTTCTTTTACAATATTTTAGCTTATATATGTTTTTTTATTTTTTTATTAACTTGGATATGCAACTCGCTATACGAGCCGATTAATCACAGGACAACCATCTATTTTGTAGATAGTCTGGAGTCACTGCATTTGAACCTCCGTGGCCACAAGGGGATTTGTATTCCTCCTTGAATTTGAACTTGTTTGTATATGTTTTTTTTATTAACCTGAATATCCAATCGGTTATGCAGACTCTTAATTTCAGAGCAATCACTTGCTTTGTGGGTAGTTCAGAGTCATCATATTTAAACTTTCATGATCATAAAAGATTTTTATTCCTCCTTGGATTTGAATCTGTGACCTTCAGGTATTTTTTATTTTTGGAGCACAAGTTCAAACTAATCAAGCATCACCTTGTGGTTAGCTTGGAAATGTTAACCACAACATCTCCCATATTATATTATAAATTTTTTTTTTAAATAAAATATCAAAAAAAAAAAAAAAAATTGCATTTTTAATAGCTATTCTATTTTAACGATCTTATCATAAAGTGGGTAAATCGTATCTTTATATGTTGTTAAATTCATCACTATCTATGAAAAATTTTCACACACATCAATATAAATACCTATTTTTTACATTCTCAATGCATAAATTGACTTGACTCTGACATAAAAAAGGTGCAAATAGCATTATCTTTATCATTAACTATATTGTTAAAATATTCAGTATATTTAATAAAATAGTATTTTTCTTTCTAGACATCTAATTTCTATGTCTCCTATTCATGAGAAATAACTAAATATTATTTATTTTTTTAAATATGGAGTTCCATAGATTTCTCTAAATTCGGATATTTCTATCTTTCTTTCTTCCTTTATCTATTTTGACATACACTGTAACATAACTGTTGGAGCAAAGTCATACTGTGAATCTCTTAAAAGATTATTTTAGTATCATTATTAGGGGTGCACAAAAACCCGCAAAACCCGTCCAATCCAACCCGCTAACAACTCAATTAAACCCAACCCGTCAATTAGGAGGATTGAAATTGCCCGTCAAACCGTCGCTAATATATAATTTTTATAGATTATATATATATATATATATATATATATGTTTATTATGTATATATATTAATAATGTATAATTTTTATTGATATTATGTTTGTATTTCATTTTAGCTAAACATATAGATTACCAAAAGAGATTCACGATCAAAGAATGATGACAAATAATTTAATTAAGGGCAAAATGCATAAAATAGCAATCTACTTTTATAAATTTTTTTATTATAGCATTGTACTTTCAATTTTTCTTATTACAGCAATGTACTTTCAAATTATTTTTTATTAGGACATTGTACTTTGAAAAATTTACCCATTATAGCATTGAGTAACCTTTTGATTTAAATTTACCCATTATACTAGGTTTCCATGCCACCTCATTGTCCACGTAGACTGTCCACATGTACTATAGTGATATGACTTTCTTACTAAATCATTGTACTTTCAAAATTATTTTATTATAGCATCTACTATTTCTTATTAAACACTGTATTTTTAATTTTAATATTTARATRTTTTACATGTTTTTTAATAAATATATTAAATGAATTAAAAAAACTTTTAAATTATTCATTAATATACCAATATCAATAAAACTAGTAGAACACAATTTATCTCGCTAATATTTTTTTTAAAAATATGTGTTTTTTGAAAAAAGGAAAATAAGAATTGTTTTTTTTTTACCAAAAAATATTATTTTTACTTGACGAATATATTATATTTGTTTAAAAACTTTTTACTTGACGTATAAATATATTAAATTAATTAGATTTTTTTGAAGTATTTATTAATATAACAATATTAAAAAATTRTAGATAACAATTTATTTCGTTAATATTTTAAAGAGAACTTTAAAAGATATGTATTTATTTGAACAACATAAAATAGGAAAAATTGTCTTTTTTACAAATAAAATATATCTCGAAAATAATGTTGCATATTTATTTAATAAATATTTTACTCTAAGAATATTTAATTTAAATGCAACCTAATAAGAAAAAGTAAAAAAAAAATATTTTTTTAGATAATAGCAATGAAAAATGAAAATCACTAATAATAATTTGAAATATGTTTTTATTTTAATTTTAGTTAAGTCATCAAAATGATGTGTCATCCAAATCACCTCATTAAAGCCACACAAGCAAAAAAGTCAAAGGGTTAACCTGTTTAAAAGGTAACAGGTTACCCATTGCTATTATGGGTAGATTTTTTAAAGTACAATGCCTTAATAAAAAATAATTTGAAAGTACATTGCTGTAATAAAGAAAAACAAAAGTAGAATGCTATAATAAGAAATTTTGTGAAAGTAGGTTGCTATTTCATGCATTTAACCCTAAAAAAAAATGGGGAATATACCTCAAATTTGGGGAATCATTAACGAAATAAGCCTAATTTATGAGAAATTGATTGAATTAATCGATCTATCCACCCCTTTTTATTTTATATCCAATTTTTTAATGTGATTCTTTAGATGGTCGTATTTTATGCAAATGAATTTATGCTTACACATAAAACATATGAAAACAAATACGTCCATTAGAAATTAAAAGAAAAAGGATTATACAAGTTACGTAAATCTATTTACGTTCATTTTTCCCGATTTATGCCATATCCTCAAAACTTTTCTGTTATTGATGGTAACAATAAATTTTACAAAACACGTCCCTCGACTCTAAAAGATTCGACTTATAGCCCCTAAATTTTAGAAAACAACATTCTACCCCCTGCGCATTATAATTTTTAACAAATTACGTTTAACTCTCTTTTTTTGGTTGCCATCATTTTCTCAAATTTGTTGGTATCGTAGCAATTTTGACTTTTCTATAATCTACACACCTCGTCATCTTCATATAAAATAAATTGCTCAAATATATTTATGTAAATATTTTGGTTATGCGTAACTTTAATGAAAAAGTGTATGCATGAATGTATTATGTATTTATGTGTATATATAAAGTTGTCAATATATAAAATATTTTGAGAAGTTTCCCTAATACTCATCTATTTAGAGGACACATATGTTCATATACACTTTTCAAGTTGTGTCGTATAAAATAACTAATATGATATTTTATTTTAAAAGCGTCATAGAATTTGTTAGGATGCCCAAAATCATCATATAAACATATTGTAACTCTTTTAGATAAGACATTTTTCTTGTTTTGTCCTATAAAGAATCATATTAAGACGCTTAGACATTTTAAGCATCCTATAAGATCTAATGTTGTTGTAGCGAAATGCTATAACTAAACATTTTATTTTCACTAAAGTACAACATCAAATGACGAGATATTTAGATTGATAGATTCGTCAACAAAATATCTATTAGTATCTTTCATATTTTATGACATATCAATTTGTTGTTGCTGCAAAAAAAAATCAATAATTTTCTCTTATTAATTAAAGGGTTAAATGCATGAAATAGCAACCTACTTTCACAAAATTTCTTATTATAGCATTCTACTTTTGTTTTTCTTTATTACAACAATGTACTTTCAAATTATTTTTTATTAAGGCATTGTACTTTAAAAAATCTACCCATAATAGCAATGGGTAACCTGTTACCTTTTAAACAGGTTAACCCTTT